ATTTTCCACCTTTAAGCATGATAGATTTTAATACCAGTTAATAGTAATAAATTATCCTATAAATTAAAGATTCTCCAGAATCACAATTCAGGCAAATGTTTTCTCATGTGTAATTCACGCCTTCAGGGTCAGGGAAATGAGAGCTATTGCAATCACTGACAAGATCATTGTTGGTGATGTTAATGCCAAGATAGGACCAAGAAGATCAGTCGAAGAACTCCACATTGGGACCCATGGAATGAACAGGGTGAGAGACTGTCTGAGTTCATCATGTCAACCAAGACCATCCATGGTAACTCACAGTTCCAGAAGGACGAATCTAAACATTGGACATGGGAGTCTCCCAGTGGATGGTTCCACAACGCAATATACCACATCATATGCAAGCAATGGTGCTGCCTGACAGATGTCTCTGTTGTCCCAAATTTCCAAATGGGATCAGACCGCTGTCTCCTTCGTGCAGAATTCTACTTCTCAGAGCAGGGAGAAAGAGCTGCAAAGTTTAAGAAGAGAACTCCCAGAACAACCACCAACTGGCAGATCTTTGGTATTATTGCTGCAACATGGGAAGATGCCGTTGTTGACAACATTGACGAGGAATACAATCAACTGGTTCAGCACCTCCTTGATTGTGCCAGGAACGCCAAGAGAGAGATAGCCACAAATAAACGCCTGTCTTCGAAAATTCTTGAGCTTATTCACCAGCGTGGTTTGGCACATGCCTCAGGCAAATGCAAGCAAATGGCCGAGCTCACAAAGCAGTGCAGAGATGCAATAAAGGAAAACCTCAAATAGAGAAGAGCAGAAGTGCTGGCAGATGCGGCAGAAGCCGGGAAAGGCATTCGTAATGCCCTCCTGTCCTTTGCCAACTACAAGACCAAGATAACTGCCCTCCAATGTCCTGATCACATTTTCCAGAAGGGCAATAGAGAAGATTATCCATGACTTCTACTCAGATCTCTTCAATAGCCATGTCCACCTGCCCACATACCAAATTCCACAGGACGGTTATGTCGTTCCCAATATTCTCTCTTCCAAAATCCGACAAGCCATTTCATTGGTAAATAAATGAACAGCACCTGGCCCAGACAAGGTCAGAAATAAAGACCTGAAGAACCAGCAGTCAGTACTCATCAATACGCTGGCTCGGCTCTTCACATGCTACGTGCCTGAATGCAAGGTTTCATCCCAATGGAAAACCAGCAGGGCTGTACCACTGTACAAGAAGGGAGACATCCACGACATTGGCAACTATCGCCCAATCTGCCTATTGTCTGTCATCTACAAACTATTCACTCGAGTCATCCTGAATAGGATTAGCAGAACACTAGATGAAGGAAAACCATGTGAACAAGCTGGATTCCGAAAAGGATTCAGCACCATCGACCATATCCACACAATAACCAAGCTCATTGAGGTATCTCGGGAGTTCAAGATGCCGCTCTGTCTAACGTTCATTGATTTAAAGAAGGCCTTTGATTCTGTTGAGATGGAAGCGGTCATCGAAGCCCTGGCCAATAAGGGCATACAAACTCAATACATCAGGATCCTCCGTGAGCTCTATTATGGATTCACTACTAGGATCTCACCATTCTACAAAGAAGTAATCATCCATGTCAAGTGAGGGGTTCGGCAGGGTGATACCATTTCACTGAAACTCTTCAGTGCCACCCTCGAGAACATCATGCGATGACTGGAATGGGAAGGAATGGGAGTGAAGATAGATGGTCAGCAACTGCACCACCTCTGCTTTGCTGATGACATCATTCTAATTAACACCAAACCTCAGCCAAGCGGTACAAATGCTGGCCGACTTCGACTGTGAGTGTGGAAAGGTCGGATTACAACTGAATCTCACAGACAATGTTCATGAGAAACAGTCTTGTTCCTGATGTTCCATTCACTCTCAACAGAACCACCATCTCCGAATGCAACAGTTTTATATACCTAGGTCGAGAAATCAACATGATGAATGACCTAGCACCTGAGTTAAGCAGGAGGAAAAGAGCAGCTTGGAACGCCTTCAAGAGCATTGAAGAAATAACTAAGAGGACAAAGAACCTCTAGCTCCGAGCACATCTCTTTGATTCCACTGTTCTTCCTGCATTAACATACGCCTCAGAGACCTGCGCCCTATACAAACAGGATGAAAATGCTATTCCGGTCTCCCAAAGAGGAATAGAAAGAGCTATGCTTGGAATATCACACTTCACTCAAATGGGAGAAAGAATCCAGAGTTCGGACCTCTGTCGACGATCAAGAATCAGGGATGCTGTCTCATTTGCCAAGGCGTCAAAAATCAGATGGGCTGGACACTAATGAGATTTGGAGATGACCGCTGGACTAGAGCCATTACAGACTGGATTCTACAGGACATCAAAAGACTGCATGGCTGCCCACCTACCAGATGGTCAGACGTCTTCATCACAATCCTGAATGATCGCTTTGAGGCTCTTTGTGTTGCTAGAACGAACAGATGCCATTGGGCTACACTCCACGCTACAAATGGAGACATTACTGGCGTCCGCTCAAGCAAATCTATGAGTAACAGGAAGTCAAGTGATCAAGTGCAATTCACACCCAATCTAATACATAGATAAGATGCTGTTTTAGTAATATATTCTACCAAGTTCAATATGCTGATCATTGAAGTTGTTTTGGGGCTGGAGTCATTGAATAGCACGTACAGCTTTGCCTTGCATGCTGCCAACATTGTAAATCTGAGTTCGATTCCTCCGCCCCTCTCGGAGAGCCCAGCAAGCTACCGAGCCTAGCAAGCTCACCCACATGGAAAAGCCTGGCAAGCTACCCGTGGTGTATTTGTATGCCAAACACAGCGACATTTGTCACAACAGAGACGTTACTAGGCCCGCTTGATCAAATCGATGAACAAAGGGAGGACAGGGACAGGGACAGTGACAGTGAAGTTGTTTTGAGATTATAGTTAGGGATAGAACTGCAAAATTAGATTTTAGCTTAATAGGAATAATTTCAGTTAACTCAGTATATAAGTGTTAGTAAAAATGCATGTATTTCTCAGTTGAGTCCACTGAGAAGGTTAAGAAGCACTGGCACTTTAATAAAAAAGAAATATACATATGCTCATATTGTACTTTTTAATTTAATTACCCAGTAATAGGAACCAATGTCCTTAAACGGTGCTGACTGTAGAATGGAAAACAGTTCTCTATAAAATTATACTGGAACATCTTGTACAAAGTAGAAAGTGATCAATAAACAGAATTTTGTTGCCCATCAAAAAATCCAAAGGCACGCGAAAGCTTTAATAATACTGAAGCTGGAACAATTTGAAAAGCAACATGGTGTGTGTGGGGGGATGGAATTCTGGATAGGATAACCTATAAAATAATGCACTTGAATTCATACTGATAAGCATAAATTACTATGTGAATAAAAGCCACAAAAAAGGAAAACAAAAAAGGATAATAATAATTATTTTTTGTTTATTGTTTGGGGGGCCTACATCTGACTCTGCTCAGGAATTCCTCCTAGCAGAGATCAATGGGGTTGGGGGGGGGGCATATAGAATTCTGGGCATCGAACTGGGTTGGCCATTGCAAGGCAAATGCCTTCTTGCTCTCTGGCCCCAGGGCAACAATCTTTCTTGCAGAACTCCAGATAAGTTTTGGAGATATTTCCATTCTTAGAGGTGGAGCTTAACTCCCTGCTCCTGAGTATAGTTGCATTTAGTGACATGCTCCCTAAAATACATTATAGGAAGGGGGAATAAAAGTTATGCTTAAGACATATGTGTAGTGATAAGGAACGACTACCCCCAGGTTCTTGCTTCGAAAGTAGCTATGATTATAATGATATAAATCCTTCTGAGTATAATCATGAGAAAAACATCAGATTCCACTTGAGGGAGATTCTATAAATGTCTGATTATTGTTCTACCAAACATCCACTGTCATCAAAATCAAGGAAAATCTGAGAAACTCTTGCTATCTAGAGGAGGTAGATGCAAGAAGGCTAGAGTAAATAAGTAATCCTTTACCAAAACAACATACAGGACAAAGGATGAAAAAATAAGAATAATGAATCAGTATATAGTAGTAACGGAATATAGTATAAAGCAAGTTGATTAATTTTATTTTTAGATTTAAAAAAATTGTGAACCACCATGCAGTACAGTTAGATTTACAAACTTCTGTGCTTATGATTCAGTCAGACAATGATCAAGTAAACATCCCTACACAGTGCCCATTCTCCTCTACCTATGCTCTCAGTATCCCTCCCAGTACCCTCCCCCTACCCACGCCTGGCCTCTGTGGCAGACATGCCTTTTACTCTCTCTCTCCTTTTTGGTGTTATGGTTTGCAATGCAGGTATTAGGTGGCCATCATGCTCGGTCTATAATCTACTTTCAGCACACATCTCCCATCCCAACTCAGCCCTCCAAGCATCCTATACTTGGTCGCTTCTCTATCTCAGTTGCTTTTCCCCCAGCAAGTGAGGCCCATTTCCAAGCCATGGAGCAATCCTCCTGGTCCTTTTCTATACTATCCTTGAGTGTTAGTCTCCCATTATCTTACCTTATATTCTTATATTTATATTTGTGGAATATAAAGTAAGTTGCAGAGGGGCAGGTTCCAGTCACAACCAGTTGTGATCAGGGCATATTACTATATTGCATGTCATGACAGCATTCAAAACTGGGTCATCTGCATGCAAGGCAAGTGCCTTATGCAATGTATGATTTCTTCAGCCCAACTAAGTTGATTTTTAATGATATACATTTGACCTATATAAAATGTTACACTGTAATATTGTATTTATAAAAATTGTCAATAAATAAGTTGTGACAAAGGAAGCATTGTTATGAAAAGCCAAAAATAAAAGGAATAGAAGGAATTGGATTTGACATACAAATTATTGCTAAACTATTATTGCAGCTTAAAAGAAAATGTCATATTCTAAAATAAGCATCTATTTGAAATAATATTTAACATTACAATTGTGTGTGTTTATCTTCTCAGATTGGTTTGACTCTGTTTTGGAATATCATCTGTTTGGGACTCAGTAACGCTTTGGAGTTTTATAGTATGCCAGCCCTTCTAAAGGTAGGAGACATCTAAATATCTCAATATCTCCAATACATATGCATTTAAATTATCTCTCTAAATATATATCTATATATATACACTTATATAAATGTTTGCTCATGTATGTCTCTGTAAAACATCAAATTAGAAATTAGAATATTCATATACATACATATATATTTGCAGTTACAAGCAGTTAATTAAAAGATGACAAAAACATGGAATTTGATCATTTCTTTTAGCAAGAATTCAATCTCTGTCCTTCATGGCCATTTTATTACTGTTTCCATTTACATGCAGATTTGAGAAGACCAGGTGGCTCTGTGCCTTCTAAAATACAAAAATTGATTCCCTCCTATATTACTTTTATAGCACTTCTCCTAGTTTCTCATAATTAGTGGAGATTACTTTTATTAAACTGGATGTGTCTCATTTCAAAGGCAAATGTCAGATGAAGTTCTGACACAGGAAACAAAAAGTCGGTGTTGCAGGCACATTTTTTATCTTTATTAATATTAATATGTCAGAGTCTGCTTCAATTGTTTCTTGGGTGGCAATTTTAGACTGCTTTTACTTTGCTGATGACAGGCATCTAAACTCTGAAATTTAGACATGTATAGTTAACCTTCTAGAGACAATAATTAAAGCACTGCCTTGACACTTCCTGCTTGGTAATTGTAGGGTGTATTCTTAGGCTGTATTCAAAACAAGCTTGAGGTTCTTAAGTCTTGATCAGTGATCAATTAAGACTAACCATCAATAGAATAGTTCAGAAAGAAAAGGTTCAAAGGTCAAGGCAAACCTATAATTTAACTAATGTGGCTGTATGGATATTGTTGTGACATTTTCTCAAACTCTGCATACTCATTTTTATTAAGTAGAAATTATCTTTTCTCTGTTTCTTTTATGAAATATGCTTATTCTAAATCACTGAACTTCAATCTAGTGTTGTAGCACTTTCCTGCATACCTGAGTAAGGAGAGACTTGAGTAAAATATATACAAATTGTTGACATTACTTTTTCAGGACTAATTTTTGTTGTTGTTGGACAGGAGAAGTTTAATAGCAGTGTTCTGCATCTAGAATGCACTCCTTGTGATCAACACTCTGACAATGGTATGTCTGATGGTTTGGTACTGGCCTGATATTGGTGAGGTTCCCAAGGCTATGGCCAGTGGTGTTTGTACTGGACAGGCATATGAAATTAGGAATAGCAATTTATTATCTCAAAAGCTACTTCTTATACCCTATTGTCACCATTTTATCCTTCATTTGGTTCTCATCAATATTCAAACATTTAATATAAAAATTTACTTTAAAAATCTGTTGTTCCCATGGAAACTAATTTTTCAATATTCGATCATGATAGGGTAAGAGGTTAATACTTTAAAATCAATTCCTATTACAGACAACTTGTTCTTTTCACAACTTGATGATTATGAATATATTTTAACACATAAACACATTTTCACATGGAATGAATGATCAATAGTAGTTAATACCACATCATTCTTTTTTTTTTAAATTTTTATTAGTGAAACACCATGAAGTACAGTTGTAGACTTACAAATTTTTGTGCTTGGGTTTCGATTATGAACAATGAACAAATACCCATCCCTCCACCAGTGCTCATTTTCCACCACCATGGATCCCAGTATCCCTCCCACCCGCATCCCCCCATTCCACCCTGCATCTGTGGCAGGGAATTCCCTTTTGTTCTCTCTCTCTCTCTCTCTCTCTCTCTCCTTTTGGGTGTTGTGGTCTGCAAAAGAGGCATTGAGTGGCAATCATGTTCGGTCTATAGTCTACTTTCAACATGCATCTCCCATCATGGGAAGATCCTCCAAACACCCTTTATTTGGTGCTCCCTTCTCTGTCTGAGGTGCCCTTTCCCCTAGCATGCCAAGCTGGCCTCTGAGCCATGGAGTAATCCTCCTGGTACTTATCTCGGCTATTCTTGGGCATTAATCTCCTATTTTGTTACTTTATGTCCCCCAGATGGATGCAGTCTTTTTATGTCTGTCCCTCTCTTTCTGACTCATTTCACTTAGCATGATACTTTCCATGTAGTATCACTTGTATGTAAATTTCATGACTTCATCTTTTCTAACAGCTACATAGTACTCCACTGCGTAGATGTACCAAAGTTTCTTTAACCAGTCATCTGTTCTTTGGCACTCAGATTTTTCCAGATTCTGGCTATTGTAAAGAGTGCTACAATGAACAAACAAGTGCAGATGTCACTTCAACTATACTTTTTTGCCTCTCTGGGATATATTCCCAGGAGAATACCACATTATTCTTATTACTAAGGAAGGATGTAGCATCTTTTCATCGAAGCCTAGTGAAGTATTAAGATATGCAAAGATTCAAATAAGCCAGAAGGGAAGCATCTAGTTTTCAAATATCCTTTGATTTTTGCTATTACCAACAGTATAAATTTTGAGCAGGTCATCGATTTTCATAAGGATAGTTTAAAGACAGCATTGTGAAAGGATACATTGAAAAAATTAAATTGTATACTTATTTTCGATAAGAAGAAAGTTTAAATTAATGTGGAAGAACTTTGAAAATAATGGTCTAAAATTGTTCTAATGTGTTTTCATCAACCTCATATATGGATATAGCCTCAATTGCATGATATAATTTAATAGAATGATACCTAAGAACATTGAAGAATAGATTTTATTTGGTCAAACTTCTGATTGAATCTTGTGTTTTTCCGCAGTTTGAATGTTAAGTAATACCCTAGGTTATATGATTTCTTATTACTTTCTTTAATAAATTTATCTTTGAACAATAATAAAAAGGTCATCTATGTTCTCTTTGAAATTATACTATATTTATTGCTTGTTCTGTTCATTTATCACTCATATCTAAGATTGCCTAAAATATAATTTAATATACTTTAAAAATTAAATGATATTTTTTCATATGGGTAAATAATAGTCCATTTATTGAAATCATCTTAGTTTCGATGTGAAATATTTGTGATAAAGAAATTAATTTAGAATGAGGTTGGAATGTGGGAGGGAAAACATAGAAAACACAATTTTTTGGCTGGGTCTCCTTATCATTGTCAGATGTTTCCTAAAAACAAATGAGGAAATAAACAAGAAACAAATAAATAAAAATAAGTCTACTAGACATACACAGGACCTATATATATACACATATGTATGTATACACATATGTATGTACATATAGCATCACATGTTTTAGATGATTATCAAATTGAATTATCTAATACATAATTCTACTTTACCTTACCTTACCTTACCTATAATTCTACATTAATTTCAGTTTTCAAAGGTATCTATTGATTTAGACATATTTGTAAATACTTCTGGGTATTTACTGACCAACAGCTTTAGTCTTCCTTTAATATTTTCTCTCCTGAGCACACGGAGAGAAGTTCGGAGGTGATAGGGAAGATTTTGGAAATGAACACAGAGCCTCATAGAGAAGTAAACAATTCTCGGATTGAGCTTTGAAAACCTCAGCTGTGAGGGCATTGGTATGACTCACAGGTCCTGACACCCAGAGAACACCTCCTCTCAGCAGTGATGAGGTGAAACAGAAGCTGATGGAAACACAGAGGGTAGCAACAGATCTGCACAGCCAGGAGTAGATTTGAGCATTTCTGGTTTTAGTGCTCACAGCCTCCTGCTGAGTTGACAATCGGGTTCAAAACATGAAGCACAGTGCCATCTGTTTAAAAGAGAAATGTACTTTGTAAGACATTAGCACTAGAAATCATTTTGTAAATGTTGCTAGTGTAGTTTTTCCCTGATGGGTTATTGTTTGGCTTGCAATTAGCACATCTGAAGGAAATAAATGCTGGGATAGTTCTAATTTTTGATAATTGTCAAAGGTTAGTCTTTGGGGATGTGCCTGTTAGATTTTCACAATGGACCTGTCATTGGGAATTATGATTCATCATCTCTACAGAATAATAAGCACAGAAAAGAAAGAAAAATACAGAGGGAGACTTGACTGTGTTCACTTAGACTCTGCAAGGCTTTCTTTTCAGAAGAAAGAAGTGCTCCAATTATTCCTGATTGCTGCAAACTTCCTGGGTCATTAAAACAGGTTTTCAGTAAGTAGAGTCATTAGAAAGAATAAAACGAAAAAAAATCAATTATTTCCCAATTTTCCACGAATTTCCCGCCAAGTAATTTACTATGTTATTTGTCAATATTAAAAAAAAAAAGAAGCACTGTAGTCCACATGATGGTCTTAAAATCTTGCAACTCACAGATCCAAAAGTTACCTACCTGTGTCTTTATTCCATGCCATATATTTTTTTTAGTTTATTTGAAAGCTTCCCTTCCTTCTGTGCACATAAAGATGTTATTCCTTAAATAAAGAAGAAAGATCAACATTTCTCTCTCTGATTTCTCTTTTTCTGATTCTAAAGCCATGCTGTTTGTGTCTTCCTGCTTTGCTGGGATGTGGAAAGTTGTCATCCAGATCAGGGTGGTGTCTTCAGGTGGCTTTAGCATTTGTTCAGTACATAAGCAAAGCACACATGGTCTTTGTTCTAAGAAAGAAAAGAAAGAGCTGCAGGAAAATCTCAGAGAAGGCTCAGTTATGGTCTATGGGGCAACGATCCATAATTTACTTTGCAGATGTCTGTGTAATTTAAGCAGCAGGCAGAGTTGCGACACGGCTGTGGCTGCTCTGGGGAAGGGATACCAAGAGGCTCATAAATCATGGTGAGGATTAAAAGCAATGAGCATTCATCTTCTTAACCTCGTAAAGGCAGTATCGGAAAGTCAAGGATTAGAACACATAGAGCAAAAGATCTTTGAGCAGGCATAAAAGGTGTCAGAGTTTGTAAGGAGCCTATCAAATTAGCATTGATCTATCATTTGCAAGTCAGCATTCTACAGTTTTTAAGTTGACTTTTCTGAAGGAGCCCTCTTTCATATTAAAATATATTGAATGTATAACATGATATAAGGTATGGGAAAAATAAGACCAAATTCTATGAAAATGTTAATCATTGTTTTTAA